ACTCGGCTTTAGGCGGTGCAGCGCCCGGCCGGCCCCGCCGGGTGTCCCCGCGTCTAACGCCGAGCCCCGGCGGCTTTGCTGCCTTGCAGGAACCCGGCTCGCTCGGAGAGACAGGTAGAAAGGGGGAACCCAGTGCTCATTTACCGCTCCCGAATGCGAGCTGCAGGCCCCCTCGGAAGGGTCTCCTTTAGCAGGGACTGACTTTACCGAGGGAGACACCGTCATTCTTCTGGATTTGCCCATCCTGCCCTGACATGGTCCATGCATCCTCTGGAGAGGACGCTTCTCTTCTTAACACCCTGTCCCTGGAGACATCCCCGCACTGCTCTGCATCCAATTGACTGTTGTCTCTGGTGCTCCAGGAACAGCCAGCCTTCACACAGCAGCTTTTGAAAAAGAGTATCTGACTTGCTGCCTCTAAGATGCCCCTCAGTTTTGTCTTCAGAGGGAGATACATGGTCCAAGATACTTTCTCAGGACTAACAGATCCGTGTCTGTGCAAGACTGATGCTCTGCGTGTCCTTCTGGAATATCTCCTGACTTCCCACACATGCAAACCATCTCACTTTGGCACCAGGAGTTTGCTGCTGGAGACTGCTGCTCCTTCCCTCCCTCCTGTTCCCTGAAGCCTAGACTCTTCTCCATTTCTTCCATCACCATGGCCTGTGGAAGATCCCTGAGTGCAAGTTGCTGCTGGGAAAAACTGAGGTAGAACTGAAATGGAGGACTGAGGAGCAAGCAATATCATTCACCAGTTAGCATGATCTGGGAGAGTGTGCGTTGTCCTTGCCTGGTGCTGTCAGCACTGCCCTTCTTGAAGAGACGGACTTCATCCTACCACCATTCAAGGAAGTCCTGCAGCTTCTGAAAATAATCAGTTCCTTGGTGTTGTCTCAGGAGCAATCAATGATGTGCTGTTTTTCATGGGGACACCACCAGCAAAATGAGCCTGTCTTCCCTTGCTGAATCCCCTGACCTCTCTGTGAGGAGGAACTCGCAGCTTGGCATTGCCCCTAAGGCAGGGTGAGGACACTCAGTCTTTGCTCTCCTCCTTTCCTCAGTGCTGCAGTAACGTTCCTTTCTGTACCTCATGCACTCTCCCTTCTCACTTGCGCTGCCTCCACTGCGGTGTTTGCCTCAGCCCCTGTGTGCCTGGGCTCTGTCCTTCCTTGACTACAGCTCCGTTTAAGCAGAATTCACCATTATCTTCTTTTTGCCCTTTGTTCTTCCCTTTTACTGACCCCACTAGATCCAGAGCCTTGGTCCTGTCGCTGGTGGAGTTACCCAGTCATGCTGCCTGGCACTGCCCAGGCTGGCACTGCAATACTCATACTTCCCTTTCTTGCCTATCCATTCTTTGAGCAGTTGTTTCTATCTGCATGTCTAGGTGTGAGCTTATGCTTGAGAATGCTGTGTGTGCGGGTGCTTACACCTGTTCTGCTGTAATGCTGCTTTTCTTCATCAGCTACAGTACAGAGCTGTCAGCAGCAGGGCTCAGCTCTTCCCATGGAACAGGTCCCTTTTCTTTCTTAGCCTGGTTCGTCTTCTTTGGGACCTACTGCAGCATGCAGACACTGAAGCTGCCTGACTATGCCCTAAATCTATAGGATCATTAATTATTCCAGTCTGCCACATGCTCCCTATCCCACTGGGCCAGCTAATGGTGCCTGATAAAATGCTGGAGTGTTCTGGTAGGAGCTGATTTTGAGTTCTTTAAAGAGTTGATTTTTTTAAGGATGAAAGCAAGCTGACTTGGTTAATGTTCCTAAACTAGCCTACCTTCCCAAGGTTGAGAACATCTGTATGGGAAGATACCCTTGCTTCTTGGGACAGGCAAATTCCAGGGGTCCACTCTGATCCTTCCCACCCTCTGGTTCTTATCAGGTCTGCTCAGTATTTTGACAGGTTATAGGCAAGTGGTGACCTTCGTGTTCTCTCCAGACTCTACAAATACAAGCTGGGTCCTGTGGGGAAATTGAAGAGCCCACATGGATGGGCCAGTAGCTGGGTAAAACTGCTGTCCTGGCAGCCTGGACATCTACCTATGTGCACAGCCTCCAGAGAAGTCCCAAACTGCTATGTCAGCCTTATCTTCCCTTTCTTCTTGTTCTCCCCGCTCTTTTTTCCCCCCAAGTTGTGCTGCTTATGAAGTGTCACGTGGGTTTATGCTGTTCTAGGAAATGTTATTTTTATTGTATGTTACTTCCCTCTCAACCCAGTATGTACTTTCTCTTTTCAGAGTTAGATCCGAATGCATCCTCAGCCTGCTGTCTTAGAGCTGTTCCTGCTTAAGGTCAATGAGAACATCTCCTGCTAATTCATCATGACATAATATGTGGTCTCCTGCTCGAACCACGGGATAAGTTTCTTGCTTCCTCTTGGTCTACACAGATGTGACTCCAGGTGTTCAGCTGCCTTGTCTGGTACAGGTAGGTTTTAGCTCTTTGAAAAGTGACCTGTTTTAGTCAGGAAGGATATGTCTGTGCTTTCTACTGGGGATGGAAAATGTTTGCCTTTGGGCATATGGACATACTATATTGTGAATTAAGTCCTAAGATGCCAACTTGCTGCTGCTGACACAAACCGGTCATTTGAATAGCCAGTTACTTCTGTGATAGTTTGTGCTAGTGCAGGCAGGAAGGTGCCAATCTGGCAGAGTTGTCTGACTCAGAGGAAGTGATATTGGAGGACACAGCTGCTAAAAGGAGGAGGAGTAGTAGTAGTAGTAGCAGGTATTCTTTGTGGTAATTCATTATTCCATTTGCCACAAGTAAACATGCTTAGTTCTTGTCAGGTGGTTATTGATCTTTGGGGTTCCTATGCTTCCTAGTGTAGGTTTAAATTAGCTCTTCCCAGCTAGGAAGACTTCTTCAGTCCCTGCTGTTGCTGGATGGGCACTGGTCATCTCCGTGATAAGGTGCTCAAATCTGCCACCTAAATCTTCATTTTCTACTATTAGTTATATTCTTCTTGTTGCTTCCACTGTGAATATCCGCCTGTAGTTACCTGTCTGTTTTCCCAGCTGTTTACACAGCATGCCTGTAGGGGACTTCAATTTTTGCCACACCTGGATTGGTGACTTCTCACCTTTCACAGCCTGCACAGGTCACCTCACTGGTCATGTAAACTGTGTGGTAGAAGAAATGCATGCAAGTTTGCTTTGGGAATAAACAGCCTAAGTGATAACAATTCTCACTGGAATTGGAAAGGCTTATGTATGAAAACTCCTTCAGTTTTCTGGTGAAGAGAAGATGCTAATGTTAACATTCCATTCTCTTTATCACTCGGGCTATCTCCTCATCCAGTGCAGTGTTGCCACAGTGGTTTCCAAACAGAGTGCTTGGGCTAACACCTGGAATTTGGTGGTCTCTCCTTGAATTGAACAGCAGTCCAGGAGCTTATCTTTTCTGGAAAGATGCAGCTGGAAGAATTGAATGGTTCTTAATTTAAACTGTAAAGAATTAAGAGTTTGGGTGTTATACCGAGGGAGTTATCCAGGTTATGCATTTTTATAGAAATACGGGTCCTGGGTACATGGAAACAAGCAGGTATCTACAATTTATGTACTTCTTCATCTAGTTCACAAGGTTGCACTGTGTTCTCCATAGTGTTTTCATAATGTAGACACCGACTAATGGGTCTTGTTTAGGGAATGTTCCTCAGAAGTCATCAAGTGAGGTGTGTTTGATTTCCTTGGTGGTCATCAAGTGAGGTGTGAATTGACAGCCTGAGATGCCCTTGTCAATTGTTCCCAATATTCACTGAGGAAATGTGGAAGTGACAGTGATACTGTCCTTTCTGTACCTGGATGTATTTTAGAGCACTGGCAGCTCCGTGCTGGACAAGAACCTCGTGACTTTTATGGAAAGCTGTTTTAGTTTTCCTTCCATGTAAAAGAACCAAAACTTTGCATTCATGTACTGGCACAGAGGTGGTGTCTGTCTGTGATCAGTGCCCAAGGCAAGGGATAGAAGCATTTCTCTCTGAATGGAACTAGCCTTAGCTAGTTTGAAGGCCTTAGCTAGACTGAAGAATTTGCTCCAAGAATGTCAGTGTGAGATTCTATTCCACGTATCTTTTACCTTTTTTACCCCCAAATTTGGGACACTTACTCTCTGCCTGTGAATAAAATTTAAAAAGTTACTTGTTTGAAGGTAGTTCAGCTCCTTTCAAGATCCTAAACTGCAAAGAACACCATTTACCAGTTATATATTTTTATATTTACAGGTACAGGTATTGCACTGAAGTGGGAAATCATGTAAACTTAACTTTTCAGCATGTGGCCTTTGATTTGCAAATATGCTTTTGATGAGCACCTCCCCTGTGGAGCCAGGCTGAGGAAGTTGTGACTGTTCGGTCTGGAGAAGAGACTGTTGCGTGGAAGTGTCTGAAGTGGCTACAGGGGAGCTGGGAAGGGATTCTTTGTTAGTAACTGCAGTAATAGGAAAAGAAATAACAGGTACAAATTGAAAGAGGGGAAATTTAGGTAAGATATTTTTTACTGTGAAGGTGGTTAGACAGTGGAACAGGTTGCCCAGGAAGGTTGTGGATGCCTTGACTCTGGCAGCGCTCAGAGCTGGGTTGGATAAGGCCTTGAATGATCTGGTCTAGTGGGAGGTGTCCCTGCCCAGGGCAGAGGGGCTTGGGACTAGATGATCTTTAAGTCCATTCCAGCCGCTTTACGTTTTATGAGTCTATGATGTGAAAGAAATTTGACTTCACTTGGTGAAACTGTAAGGCCCAACGAATTATGATTTTGAAAATACGTAAATTTATTAATTTTAAAGATTTAAACCGGTCATTTCCCCCTGGCAAAATACTATGATTCATGGCAACGGCAGAATTTACAGTTAAAGGTGGTGTCTATGTGGAATGGAAGAGCTGTGTTTGCAGCTGTGAGACCAGTGAGTGTTGCAGTCAGCAACCTCAGGATCTCGTCCAGGGAAGCAGCAGGGTTCTGGGGACCAGCATGGAACACCAACGAGATGGGCTCCAGTTCATGAAACCATTTATTCAGCATGGGAACAAACCCAGATCCAGAACAGAGAGCTCTGAACAGAGGCACAGCAGAGGTTTTTGAGGGACAGAACCCCCGAGGGTTTACACCTTTGACGGTGGAGTTCAGGGTCAGGGACCAGTAGAAGCACACCAAGGGAGAACCCCCCCAGGGACTCAAACCCAATCAGAGCACCTGGGCCACCCTTCACAAGGGGTTTGGGGTGGGACAGTGTAGCTCTTTGTCGTCCCTGAGGCACGCTGCCACAAGTGAGGAAAGATTTTAAAATGTTACATGCAGATTTTTAAGCTTTCCACTTTCATGGTAGAGAGAGGACAAAGTGGAAGGTTACTTAATGGGTTTTATTCATGTTTGTTCTTTGAGATCACAGGGATAACCACATAGTAACTGGGTGGGGCAGCAGGCTGATCACACTGTGTGGACAGGGGCCAATCTGAGCAGTTGCAGGAAAAAGTACAAAGCTCATTCACTGTGGGTCACAGAGGAATAGAATGGTATGGGTTGGAAGGGACCTTCACAGATCACCTACTCATGATGTTCTAGTGTTTCACCTACCTCATTGTAAAAAATGTCTTCCTTAGGTCTAATCTAAAACTGCCCTTGTCCTGCATTACAGGAGTTGGTAAAGGGTCTCTGTCTTTCTTACAAGCCCTCTTTAAATGCTGAAAGACTACAAGAAAATCTCCCTGGAGCCTTCTCTTCTCTAGGTTGAATACCCTTGAATACCTCTCTCTCAGCCCATCTCCAGAGCAGAGGGGCTTCAGCCCTCAGAGCATCTCTGTGGCCTCCTCTGGGCTTGCTGCAAAAGCCCCATGTTTGTCTTGTTCTGTGGACCACATGTGAGGTCAAGAGCTGACAGGAGTAATCCCCCCCACATGCTGTCCGTGCTGTGGGATCAGCCCAGGACACAGGTTGTTTCTGGGATGGCAGCCCACGTGGCCAGGATCTGTTCCCACAGTAAATGAGATGGAATGGAGAAGGCTGAGGTGCTCAACAGCTTTTTTCCTCCTCAGTTTTCACTTGTAATTGCTCTTCCCAAATCTCTGGAGTCCCAGAATCTCAAGGTGGGGACAGGGGGAATGAAGTCCTGCCCGTTGTAGGAGTAGATCAGGACCTAGACCATCTGAAGAGCATGTACATACAGAAATCCATGGGACCTGATGAAACATGTACCAGGGAACTGGCTGATGGTGAATCTTGTCTCTCTTTAGTAATCTGTATTCATCAAAGAGCATCCCATGAGTAGAGAAGCCAAAGCCTTGGCATCAACACCAGCCATGAAGCCAGATGTTGATTTGGATTGATCATGGTTGTTTACACATTAATGGATCTTACGGCTAAAAGAAACTTTTGGATCATGTGACACACATATTTTACTGAGCACTGATTAATTTCTATCGGTCCTTACTGTGAGCCTTACACCTTTTAACCAGACAAGCTGGTTAACCATTGGAAATTTAAATGCGATATACTGCTTGTAGACCTTCTATCAGTGGAGGGTTTAAAAACTTGGGCAAACATATGTTAAGAAGGGTTTTGGCAGATCAAGGCTGACTTGGGGCAAGGGGGGATTTGAAGCATTAAAGGCCGTGCCCGCCCCTCTGCTTGTTCTCTTAATACTTAGCGTTCTTGTATGAATGAAAGTCTCTAGTCCAACAGTATCTGTATGTGGTTTGTAAGTAATTCTTGTGCCAGTTTTGTCCTTGGTAATCCAGACCTGTCTTAGTAAGGAAGTGAACCAGTGTGGACTGCTTAGAGCAGCATGCCTAGATCTCCCTGGGATGTGCACAGACCAGCTAGGGACCAAGGCAGTGTGCCCTGAGACAGGGCACCTGAGAAACATCTGCTTTCATAACTTTGCTGTGGACTGTTGGGTACTTTTAGTCTCCACCATCTTCTGGTAAATGGTGGTGTGTGTCTTGTGGACTTTTGACACATACAGGTTTTGCCAAGTGGTTTACAAGTTCTAGAAAATTGGATGCTCCTTATCTAGTTACTGCTTTTTGCATCTTCAGTGTCCCTTGGCAAGTCGTGCATCAATTAGTGCCCCAGGCTGGCTATTTTGCATGAAAAACATTCCATTCACTTTGAACTTTGTCCTCCATTTTTGTTGGTGATCCTCAAGTTCTTCTGCTACAAGATAACGTGCTCCTTTCATCACAGTGACAATTTCTATTCTGTATGTTTCCCTCCTCCTCTGAAATACAAACAGGCACTCTGCTTCAGTTCCTTTGCATAACAAGATTATTTTGTACCTAGTCTTTCTATATCTGTATGGTTATAATTCTGCTGTATGCTTTTACAGATGTGACCAGCACTGGCTGCAGTGTGATAAAAAAACAGTACTATTGATATTGTGTTCTGTAATGTCTTCTGTCAGGCTTTTCATAACTCCTTCAAATTTTATTTTTT